GACCAGCGCGTTGCCAACATCAAGGCCGACATCAAGACATGTGAAGAAGCGAAGCCAAAGATGCAGCAAAAAAGCAAGGAGATCGCTGAATCCAAAAGCACCGTCCAGGAACAGAAGCAGAAGGCCCGACAAGTTCTTGTCTTGTGCCGAACAGTTTCGACCCAGGTAGGCAGCACCTTCCCGAGGCCTGCGAAACGGCCGGCAGCTTGCTGCAGACCGGCGTCAGCCCTGAGGCCGCTATCGCCATCCAGGCCCGCATTATACTCCCAGTCCTGCTGATGACCTAATGTCCCTCTCTGAACAGGTCTTCAGCATGATGAAGATGACATGGGGCTGTCACGAAGTTGCCACGGCCATCGATGGGCTCGTGGCGGTGTTGCAGTCTTGCTGAGCTCTGACTTGAAGACCATGCTGCCCAGCTCTCGGCTGTTTTTGATGGCCGTGAACAAAAAGCTCAAGAGCGATGTTGTCGTTGATGTCGACTGCGTAATGTTTCTCACCCCATTGCCCCCCCCTAGGCACAAAGACTTTACTTGACGAGCCAATGCATGTAAGAGGTGCCTCCATCCGTCCCCGGTTTCGTTCGGCGCTTTGCTTGATGCACCTCGGCACACTTGGCATTGCCAACCCATGAGGTTGATTGACAGAATTGGCCAGTCAGGCTCTCGCACGGGCCACCCGTTGGCAACGGGCACTCTGCGTACTTGACGACGACGATACGTGCCTGAGGTTGAAGCAGAGTCACTCAAGGGCGGGGGGCTAGTCCCGAAAAGTGTCTTGCTGTGGCAGTGCCGTTTGTGCCGTTGTCTATGGGAATCTAAGCCCTCATTTGAGTACATGTTTGTGTGGCAGCAGGCATTGGCATCAGTTACCAAAAGCAGTGAGTGACCTGTTCCTGTGTAGGATCCAGACATGCAGAGTGACCACTGAGGGCAGTTGGCCTCATCGCCTTCAACTCCGCGCTCACTGCATGTGCTCCTTAGCCCGAATTCAGAGCAAGCTTCCTCGTCATGTGACCCTGTAAACCTGGGACATCGAGCCCAACAGTTAGAAGACGGATGCAGGGGGCCCAACAGTTAGAAGACGGATGCAGGAGAGAGCCTCTGAGTGGGGGCAAGCGATACAGCTGCTGCATGAGATGCGGGAGTGCCTCGGCTTGATGCCGTAGACGGACACGTTCCACAGGCAGCCGGTGAATTGAGCACAAACTTCTGCTCTGGGTGCTTATGGTGCTTATCGACCTCCGTCTAGGTGCAGTGAAACTTCAATTGCTGATGGAATCGGTGATGGCCTTCTGTAGAGGAGGGTGCAGTGCAGAGCCTTCTGGAGCGAGGTTTGGTCCTCATCCGGACATCATCAGCGTGAACGCTGTGCTCGCCGCTTGTGTCTCAAAGTGGCAAGAAGCTCTGCGCATCTATGCGACCTTGCCTTCGATGGAGCTTCGACCGTCGCTTGCTTCCAAGAGCTTCACGTGGCCAAAAAAAGTCCCAAAGCCATCATGATATGTAGGGCTTGGGGCTCAGGGTGCCCGGTTTAGGGTTTAGGGTTTAGGGCGCTCTGCTTCGCCCGCCTTCTGAGGAGCATCGTGACACTGAACTCCTTGATGAATGCCTGTGCCAGCGGCCTGCAATGGCAATTCGCCTTCGAGCTCTGGCGAGGCTTGTAGATTCCGGCCTCATGTTACTGGCATGTAGCTTGTCGTTGCGTGCTGTTGCTTCGCATGCAGATGGTAGGTGACTTTCCGGAGAAGCGCACCTGACATGATAGTTGGAGCTTCGATCCCCGATAGGAGTGCTGCCACCCTTGCAGCCGACCGAAGCCACTTTCGGCGCCCTTCTCGCCTCTTGTGCCCTCGGACCGAGGGCTGTCGGGGTGGTAGGACTTCGGCCGCACAGCTTATGCATATAATATGATTTATATGCTTATGCTGCAGAGCTGACGAGCGGAGCGGGATGTCTCCCCCTTTGTCGGCGTGCAGAGCTGTGGGGTCCCACTACGAACCCTGGAAACGACGCCTCCATGCAAAGCATCATAAGCCAAATATATACGGCCTTTGCCGACCGGAGAATTAGTCTTCAAGACACCTCCCTTGCTGTGTCATCTTTGACTGAACTGACTGCGGGCCAAGATTTGTTCAGATGTTTGGCGTTTACCATGACTTTGATATGCGAAGAAACCAGCCACCCTCTCCCCAACGCCACCACATGAATTTCAATTGAACCCACCCACAGCGGTGATGCTGGTAGAAGGTTCAGGATTTTCACGCAGGATGCGAATGAAACTTGTCAGCTTTCCCGGAAATGCATTATGGAACTCGGGCGGGCTGTTTGAGAAGATACGGTCCAGGTGGGCAGGAGGGATGTATGTCGAAAGCTTTGAAGAGGCTCCGCCAGTGCTGTGGCCAGGACCAGGCTGGCAAGTTTCCGTGGCACTGCTGCAGCAAAGATGCTCGGCTTATCTTTGTATCCTGTTAGTTTCCTGGCAAGGTCACTATCTTGAGATTCTGGGTTTGTAATCTCAGATCTCGATGGATTCGAGAAGGCTTTCTACAGCAAGCCCGAGCCAATGTGGCCAACTGGACCAGCACGCTTACAACGCTGCATCGTGAAGGCCAGGACCACTGCTCGGTGACTGCAAGTGGCAACAACAAACTAAAGCAGAAGGAAAGCTTTAGCAACTTGCATCGGTCAGACCTGCATCCATCCTGTAAGACCGATTCATAGACCCGATTAAACTGTGTCGTTCGTTTCCACACTTTTGTGTTCGGGCGACATAGTAACGTGCACTTGGCTTCTTCGCAACTTCAGCATTGTCCGGACATGCACAGCGATCCCGCGATGCAGGCCAATGGGAGAGGGCATCATCCCTCTTCTGGGAGATGTATCGCGCTGCCGCCGGGATCTTACATAAACAGATGGCACACGATAAGTTGTGTTCTTCATCTGGATCTGTCAAACTATCCTGCTCCTTGTTGCATGTGATGATGCTTAGGGGGCTGATCGGGCAGTGAGGTTGTTCCCAACATGCTGACGATCGATGCCGCAACTTGCTAAGAAGAGTCTTTGGCATTCGGGCGGCATCGAAACGAGGCGAATCAGTATCCGCAGAATCCGTTCTGCCCCCTGACGACGAGCTCGGTCACCATAGCCTCAGCCACATCGATACTTCACATATGCTCACCTTGTCGCCTGCAGGCAGCCATAGGACAGTCGTCCGCTATCGTTTCGGCTATCCTGAGCTTGAATGGGCAATACATGGCTAGACAGTGTGCCAGCCCTTGGTTTAAAGAGCGCATCAGGAAGCAGTAGTGCCGAGCAAACTTCGAAGTAAAGAACGTCCCCGACATGTGCACACAAAGTATTGATCTACACTTGTGCTCCTTGGAGCTTCTGAGGTCATGGTAGCGTGGCAGCGCAGCAGCCAGTGGCGGAAGGAGCGGCAGCATACCGGGTAATTTTTGTTTGCCAGACTGCCGAGATTCCCTGTGTGGAGGCCCTCGGGACGATGGCAGCCCTCCAGAAACAGTCACTGCCCATCGGTTGTGGGGCCATGGCGGCGTTGCGCAGCGCGTGCGAAGAGAGGCATCAAGCGTCGCCGGCAGAGGCCATGCCAACAGTACTAGCAGGGCTGCGGGCTTGAAGTTTAAACTCTCGCAGTTCGATGGTAAGTGAGGATAACTCACATGACGTCATCCTTTGCTAGGTCATCTCGGTACTGCTAGCGTCCACGGCAGCCCGTCTGCTCAGCAAGCAGCCGAGTTGTGGCACAGCAGCTGACTTGCCCACAGCCATCAAAGGCATCCAGAAGCGCTTGTCCAGCGCAGGTCAAGGCCCAGTTCTGGAGCGGGGAGAGCATCTTCAACGCCCGCTCTGTTCCATTCGCCACTCAGCCAATGTTTGAACTGTAGCGCGTGGCGTGTGTTGCCAACTTCCTGAGGAACTTATCTTCAAGATCATTCGTTGCAGCTCGCCTTGTGGTTGTCTGGGCTTCATCTGCAACGCCCCACTGCATGATGAGTCTCTGTGGAATTCACACTTGCGAGGCCCTGGCTTCATTGTCGCCGCATTGTATCACCGCTGGCAAGAGGCGTTGCTGCCTCTTCTGACGTGTCTTGACGTTGAATTGGTGACATGCCGGCACGGATCGCGAATCAAGTCTGTAGTTAGAACCAATTTAGATCAATGGCTGCAAGCAGGCTCCTTTAGGAGAACTTTGTCGCAACATGCACTTCAAGCAGCCTGCACTGAAGATGCTCAGGTGGACAAATTGGAGGCTCCATATGCAAGGCTACTGCTGTGCGAAATTGGCCAAGCAGGCGACCCCCTAAAGCAATCATCGCAACTCTGGCGAAATGCGGCCCCACATTTCTTAGTCGGCTGATCCACGACAATGGGATTTTCATTAAAGGTGACTCATAGAATGGGCAAATTATCTTGAACATCTGTGTATATATATATATTTATATATATATGTAGCTAAATACAAATAGCAAAATCACGAATGTTCAATATCTAGGCCGAGTCGGAGGATATCGTATATAAGATTGAATAGTTAAATATTATTTTTAAATATTATCTCGACATAAGATTGAATATTTTATTTTATAATTAGAACCTTATGAATTGGGTCTATATTTTTAATCGAGCCAGAAATTTGAATAAAAATCTATCTAAAAAGAACATATTCAGATTAAGCTCCCTCCCAAGATATATATTAGTTTATGTCATAGATAATTGACGAAATGAGTACTGCAAAATAGGCCTTATAATTCTTGGAAAAAATTAAGATTTTTTAAATTAACGTTGGATATGTAATTTTTTATGATTTAAACAATCTTAAATCCGATAGATAAAGCTCTTAGAAATTCTTAATTGATTTAATTAATGAAAGCTTTTGCATGGAGAAATTTTTAGGAAATTTTATTTAGAGACAATTTTAGATGGTTTTTATTATATATTTCTAATTATTATAGATATTATATAGTCTTAAATTCGATCGGAAATTTGGTAGAACAAATATATTTTGCTATTATAATATTCGTGATGGTTGTTAATTGAGGAATTTGTGGTTTATTATTTTGGGTTCGAATTTATTTTTTATATAAATATACTTTCGCGGTAATTTCTCGATGATGTTTATTTATGAAGGAGATTATTTCGACATGATATAGTTTGAATTATTGTAGAATATTACGGAATTTGGCATTATGTTTTACGAATAAAAATATTTAATTTTGTGCTTCTTATTAATAAGATATTGGATATTTTCGATTAAATTTATAAATTTGTTCGATTTGGAATTATATACTTTAGGTTGATTATTTTTTTAAAATAGAAAATCGAAAAATGCTTTAGAAATATATATGAAAATTCTTTAATATATATATATATAATAAATCGAATCTAAAGCTTTAAATTT